AATGTGAATATGTTGGAAAATTGAAGAATAGATGTGCATGGACATGATTGGGGCATTTTAAATTATATTGTTATGTTGAATTGATAAAGACCCTAGTGGTATATACATACATGTTTGTTGATTTATTTTGCAGGAGGTATATGTCCAATTCTTAGAGGAGGTGCTGTCAGATTTCATTAGAATGACAATGCAGACTAAGTTAAAATTAGCTAAATAAATTTTGTTGCATCCACAATTTGGTGGTTTGTGTTCTAACTTATCGGTTCAGGTTCCTCTTGTTTTTCTGGTGTTCTGGATATTTGAAAATATAGTTTTTAAGGGTAGTGGTACGTCAAATAAGAATAAGTCCTCATAATCATCCAATATAGTCTCTCCATGAAGATAAAGTTGATTAAAAAAGGACTTGATCTCACCAAAGGTGACACCAATGGGTGCATAAAATTTTTCGGCAGAAGCATGATGACATTTGTATCCCTTTTGTGTGGATAAGTGCACCACAAACATACACTTAATGAACCTTAGATCAAGTTTCCTCATTTGAGATTGATATAGACAAAACACTTAAAGACTCCAGGGATATGGTTGTTTGTAACTCTTACATTAGGAAAGAAGGTAGCTAAGATTTCCGTAGGACTATAAAGTTCCGATACCCTAGATTGTAACCTATTTATAAGATTGGTGACAGTCAATACAGTTTCCCCCAGTAATGTTGAGTGACTTCCTAGGTGAGGTATTGTGCTCTCCCACTTCCGGAATTTGAGTGACTTCTGATTTGGGTGGTTTAATGAAAATAATTCCATCAGACTGAGATGTTACATAAGAGATGCTATTGGTTCTTGCTGTGGTCATTCCACATTTGATCACTGGCAAAAGAAAAAAAGTTTTTTAGGTTTCATATATCTTGCTTTGATACCATGAAAGTTTGTAACTAAATTTTCTTTTTATTAAATTTTTTATTCATGATATTAATTTACAAAAACTGGATATATATACGAGAAAATTTAAGAGATTTTTAGAAAAAAACTAAATACAAAATTAGTCCCATAAAAAGAAATGATGTTTTAGTTATGAAAGTTGATTATGATTATGTTTTATTGGGAGATTCCCTAAAGATACTAATCTTTACAGAAATTAGATTTTTACAAGAAATCGGATTCCTATAGTGAAAGTAATTATGGACATTGTTGGAACAAAAGCATTTTTTGCCCCATATTGAGTTTTGATCATATTGTGGAATTGAAATAACATAACTGAATTTTGCTTTAGATTTTATCAAAAAGAGCCAAGTTACTCGAATGCAATCATCAATTAATGAAACAAACCATCTAGGTGAAGAAAATTTAGGATATTTGAGGATCCTAGATATTATTATGAATCAAAGTAAAATAAAAATTGCTTCTTTTATTGCTAGGGAGAAAATTACCCCCTTGTATTTTGCCAGTCTGCATGCTTCACAGTGTAAATTTCCGTTGTTGGAATCTTCAAATAAAGAGGGAAATGTAAACCTAATGATAAAGAGGGAAGAACGTCCTTATCTTCTGTGGCGTAACCATATCATGTCTAAAGTATAGGGGAAGGAGCAGCGTAGGGCATCTCAGGTGCATCCAAGAAATACAATCCCTTGAGTGCCTCAGTATGTTCAATCATCTTCCTTGAGTTATGGTCTAGAAATTCATAATGAGAAGAAAAAAAGTACTTTCAATTTACGTCATCCAATAGCTTGGTCAGTGATACTAAATTCGTGCATAATTTTGGAACATAGAATACATCAGTAAGAGTAAAAGTGAGTATTGATCTTTATGCTCCCAACTCTTGCTACTATGGTTAACAAACCATTAGCAGTAATTATTTTTTTATTACTTGGACAGTAGACATAGGTGTTGAAATATTTAGATGAGATGGTCATGTAGTCTGTGATTCTTGAGTGTATCCATCCAAGATAGTGCAAAAAGTTTACCTGAGGCATTTAGTCCATCTGACAGAAAACGTATCTGAATGTGCCCATAAATTTAAACCTTTAGGTTTTCCTGAGAGTCAAGACGAGTCCTGAAGTGCTTAATCTCTACCTTGAAGTCACTGCCAGCAGTCTGCTTCTCTCCTTGTTGGTTGGCCATATGTGTCTGTCCTTCATGCTTTGGAAAATTATTCTTGTACCCCTAGTATTTACTGGAGGTGGTAGGCTTTCCATGGAATTTTTAACATTTTTCTTTAGTGTATTAATTCTTGCAGAAGGTACACCAAAGATTATCTCTATCCTTTCCACCATTTACCGGCGTATTATTGCAATTTGATGCGAGGTTTGAGCCTTCAAACTTCTAATTGGCGAGGCTCTAACATAACCCATCTCCCACACCCTTTTGCAACTATAAGGGATATTACTTCATTTAGTAAAGGCATTTCATGATCTCCCACGAGCTGAACTCTTAGCTAATTATATTCTGTAATTAAAAACTGCCATAATATTGGTATTCTCTATCATTCTCAACAAATTTCTTCAGTACGGTCGCATGTTTGCTGCAATCCATAGTGAGACAGGGATACTGGTCTACTTCTCACCACCAGCCTTTCAGGAAACTGAAATATTCCGTCATTTATTTGCTTCCTTGCTTTGTAGACCAAGTTCTGATTGTTAAATCATATATTTGAGTTGCGTTTTTAACCTTCGAGTATGTTTCCTTGTCGGCTTCCTAAATCTCTCTTGCATGGAGTAAGAACATGCAGGAATCACGGGGAGCATTGAATTCTAGAGCCATACAATTATAATTGAGTCTTCTCCACAAGTATTAAATTGTGGGTTCCCAGATTTTGCTCTGGTGCCCAAAAAGAAACCGATTTTCTGTTCCTCTTTTTGGATTGTAGGAATTAGTTGCGACTACTTCAAGTAATTTTATCTATAGACAGCTTGAATTGGCTGGAATTCTAGTTGATTGTTCCAAGTTTGCCATGTTGGGGTTTGCCCTAGTTGCTTAGGCCATAACCTCCGACACGATAAAAAATTTCTGGTAAGACAGACTGGCTTGATAGAGGTAAAACCAGAAACAACCAAGTTG